TTGCTTGGAAATTACCTTTTGGAGCCTTTAAAACTTATATATATGATCCATTTGGAATTTTTCTAGATTTGAAGAATGGCTCCTAAAACTAAGAGAGGAAAGGGGATGGAAACTTTTGATACCGCCAAAGTCATTAATCACAAGGCTTAGAACAAATACGATGACTTGCAATTATCACAAAAATTTATTGTGGAGGGGAGCATTTCAAGTCCTGGTGGAGCGGTACAACACCTGATTGTTGCTAGGTATTATGCTACTTCATTGGCGTAGCATTTATTTATGTTGGGAGGGAATTTTATACAAATTTACTTGAGGCTCCCAAAGATGAGGGATTTCTTAGAGGATGGGGAGTTGAGTTCACCCCTGAGCGGTAAATGTGTTATATGGTTTATCTCCTTCTCTAGACTGCTTTTATTTAGATTTTGAGCCTACCGAGATTGAGCTTGATGAAATTATTACGTACTTAACCAATGGACGTGGAGTCTGGAAGATCAGGAATGAACATATATGGGACAAAAATCGGTATTAGAATCAGCGCCTAGGTGCCAACTCCATTTTTCATCTTCTAGCTCCTTCTTCTTCCTCTAGTTCGTGTGAGAGACATCTAGGGCTCCCCATAGCTCAAGAATCTTCAACTTTCAGTGGCCAAAAGCACTGGATTTCATCTTTCACCAAATTTTATCTTCTGTAGGTTAGATCTTAATTTTGGCCTAGAAATTTTTTGGTTTCACCATGGATTTCTTCCACATTGATTGGAGGCCAAAAATTACAAAATTTTGGAATTTATGGTGAAAATTCCATGGATGAAAGCTTCATTTGCTTGGAAATTACCTTTTGGAGCCTTTAAAACTTATATATATGATCCATTTGGAATTTTTCTAGATTTGAAGAATGGCTCCTAAAACTAAGAGAGGAAAGGGGATGGAAACTTTTGATACCGCCAAAGTCATGAATCACAAGGCTTAGAACAAATACGATGACTTGCAATTATCACAAAAATTTATTGTGGAGGGGAGCATTTCAAGTCCTGGTGGAGCGGTACAACACCTGATTGTTGCTAGGTATTATGCTACTTCATTGGCATAGCATTTATTTATGTTGGGAGGGAATTTTATACAAATTTACTTGAGGCTCCCAAAGATGAGGGATTTCTTAGAGGATGGGGAGTTGAGTTCACCCCTGAGCGGATAAATGTGTTATATGGTTTATCTCCTTCTCTAGACTGCTTTTATTTAGATTTTGAGCCTACTGAGATTGAGCTTGATGAAATTATTACGTACTTTACTAATGGACGTGGAGTCTGGAAGATCAGGAATGAACAAAAGGTAAAATTTTCTTCTTTCTCACTTAATGCCCCATCAAAAGCATGAAATTACCTCATTTCTGCTAGATTAATTCCCTCAAACCACTTGAGTGAGGTGACTCATGAGAGAGCTACTTTGAACTACTGCATTCAAAGGACGAAACCAATTGTTGTTGGCTATCTTATATTTAAGTGTATTTACACCTCTGCTAGATCTAGTTCTTTAGTAGGTTTAGGTTTTCCTTCTCTTATTTTTACTATCTACAAGGACTTTGGAGTTAAATATGAAACTTGGGAGGAAAAATTAAAGCCACTAAACCCTATTTGAAAGGCTAATGTTGATATTTATGGAAGATCTGGAGGTACAACTTCTAGCATTACTTGAAACGATATGTGTACTTGCGTATTATCCCTTGTGTGTAAAACATTAATCAATTTATTTTGCACACTAGCCGCTTAATATAAATTGGTTCAATATTTTAGCCATCTTTTCAAACTTAAATAATTATGTAATTATGGATCAGGTCATTATGTACCTGTCTAAGGTAGTCCGACATCGCAAACAAATTTGGGTTACATGGGGGAACTGGATCATGGATTGAACAACCTTCTTTCTCATTTTCTGTGTACCATGTTTCATGTTAAAAAATACTAATGCTAAATATATAAAAAACATAATTATGAATATAGAAAATTGTTTTTTTATTATTTGATTTTTGCTTTGACTGGTGTGCTCTCCCACTCAATATGTCATCCAAATCGACTGATAATTTCTTCAATGACTCCAACATGTAATTCTCAAACAGTTCATTTCCTTGTGCTTTAGTACTAATCTGATATGTAAATTTTTGAACGTGTGTGTGAAATATGAGGCCACTTGAGGAACTTGGTAACATTTGTGCTTCCTTTAGATGTCTATATCCACAACTATTATAGACGTCCTTTTTTACATGAACAAACCACCACAATAAGTGATATTTATCAGGAATATTTGTTATATTTTCTAAGCCAAGAAACCTTAGAGAATGAGAGGATAATAAACCCATCATTTTAAATTTCTTACAACTAAACATAATTTCATAATTACTTTTGTCTAGTTTAACAATCCAAGGTTTGTCTGTCTCCTTATTATCAAAAATTTTTATGTAAAATTCTGAATCCCTATTTGCAGAGAACTCCACAACAAGGCCATATTAATCATGTAATAAATTTGCTTCAAACATTGAGTATAGCCTCCTCTTATAACTTACAACGTCCTGCCTAAAAATTGGACTACTTTTCACAATAGAGACAATTGCAGACTTATCAAATTTAAAATCTTTGTCCTTCTTGTTACTTCTCCACAATTTTATGACATTTTCAATGCCCATGAAACACTCCGTAAGATAACTTGTTGACTTTGAGACATCACGATAGATATTGTCGTGCAAATTTCCTTTCTCTATCAATATAGCCCCAATTTCTTCAAACCACTCTTTAGAGTCACATATGCTCATGCATTTATAAAAGAGGTCATTGACTCTCTTGCTACCCATGTCGCAATAAAATTTTGAAGTATATTTTTTGTATATATGCCATTGGCATAATCTCTGCCTTCTGTGTAGTAGACTATCTTCAATGCTTCTTGCCATTGCTTGATCCTGATCAATGAGTATTGTTATTGGATGCTTGTCATCCATTATACGAATAAAAGTTTTGAACAACCATTTGAATGAGTCAATCATCTAGTCTGATAAAAAAAAAACTCCGAAGAGAACATTTTGCCAATTGTATTTATTTAGTTTGTAACTTCTATAAAAGATGATCACATCCCCAAAGCAGTGGTAATCAAGCATGGACATCCCATCACTCTAGGAAAATCTTGTGACGCTATCGCACTCATTAATTTGAAAGTCCCACGCAAGCATGTTGTCCACAACTTGCCTCTCCATAAACAGTTGTAGTAGAGAATTAGAATCTCCATATTCAATTCTATCTCTTCTCTCTTTTTGTATGAAATTATAGGCATCCCTTTTAATGCATTCAAGAGTCTCTACTCCCCCAGCTTCTGCAGCTAGGATGCTAAATACATCGATGTCTCTAAGCCCCAATTCTGTCCTCGATCTGACCACATCTGCATTGATTTCACTTATCTTTCTGCTGGAATGTAACAAATACGTATCACTGGATTCCGCCAAGAGATAGTTATGATTTTATATAAATTTTTTGACTGACTAGTTGCCTTTGACATTAACGACATATCAAATCATGTCTAGAAAACCAGTCATTGTGTCTGCTCTTTTGAACTTCACCGTGTTATTGAATTAGGCTCTTTCTTGTAACCAACCTTAGCATAAATAAAATCCTTTGTCTTAATCTTCTTCAAATTGGGGCAAAAATTACTATGATCCTTTCGAACAGTAATTCCAATATGGTGTGCATAGACATACTATTTTTCATATGCTTCCTTCTAATTGTGGAACTGTTTAAATGAAATTGTTTGCAATTGGATCATTGCAACCAATTTGAGGCACGTGGAACTGCAATTTTTTTTAAAAAAAACATAATAAACTTTATTGGATACGAAAATAATACTAATGAAATAGTAAAATCTCAATAAAACCAAAACATTCCACTAGAATCTTCAGAATCACACAATAAAACTAGAATAACATTGCAATAATACCAGATTTACACCACAATATCACCAGAATAGCACTAGCAAAACATAGCAATAACACCACATACCCACCTCAATAAAACTATAACAATACATATCAAATAACACAGTAACAACAACAAAATAAAAGTAAAATAACATCAGGATAACACCATTAGATCACCAAAATAGCACTCTATAAAAACCAAGTTATTAAACTCCAATAACACTAGGCAAACACAACAATACACTAAAATACCACCAGAGAAAATACAACAGTAACACCACATCTAACATAAATCAAACTGTAACATTACACATCTAATGAGAATACAGTAACACCAAAATAAAACCAGTATAACACCTGATAATACCTAAATAATGCCACAATAACACAGGAATAACATCAGAATAAAATGAAGCAACTAACCTCCAATAACACGAGGAAAACACAACATTAAATGTTGCATTAACACCACATCTCCACTCCAATAAAAACGTAACATTACACATCCAATAATACCGTAATATCACCACAATAACACCAAGTTAACACCGTTATAACACAACAATAATAAATCAATAAAATTAGAAACTCTACCACAATAATAACACAACAATGACACGATATAGTAACACAACATAATACACCATTAACATCAAGATAATGCACACCACATTAACACAATTAAAACACTCCAACAGTGCTACCGCAATAACACCATTTCGGGCAAAGCTAAACTCGCCTTATTATCGTAGTTCTTGCCAATACTTTGAGAATCCATCATCGTTTCCCGGTAGAGAGAGACGTCTATCGCCACAAAAATTCTAGCTGAAGGCTAGACAAATAAAAAATGTGACATAATTAAACCTAAACTTGACAAAAAATGCACTTTTCGAACAGGTGGGCGAGAGCTAAAAAAGTCAAAATGTGTTTTCGGAGAGGCTTGGGCGGGACTCGGGTTGGGTTGCATAGTTATAAAAAAATTAAAAAAAAAAGCACATTTTTAATTTTATTAACGGGTGAAACCGATATCTATACGTGGCTAATAAGTCTGGACACAAATTTGTATCTCGTCTCCCGACCTAGTAATTTTTCCACCCTGGTAGGAGCTTAAGTTCTCCCCTTCCACAAAGGGTCAGGCACGAGAGCAACCCTATGAAACGAAGATCTCATGCACTCGAAGAAGGGTTTATATTCTTTTTGTTAATCTCTTCCCTGAATCGTCTCTCTCCGCTCTTTCTTTGTTCTATTCTGCGACAATTTCTCTTCTTCTTTGTTTTCTAGAATTTTATGAACTTTTGTCAATTAATCAATTATATTCCGTTTCATTCTGTAAGTATTTTTTCTGGCGACTCTTTACCTCAAGTCTTGCGTCCTCCTGATGTGCTGTGGGTAATTAGAGAGGCGGAGCTTTAGGGACCTTTTGTAGGTTTGGCGGACTTTAGGGTTCTGTTAATCTTTTATTCCCAGTATTTATCCTCTTGCAATCTTGTTCGGTCTTGGCGGGAGTTTGGATGTTGTCCGCGGCAAATCAAGGAAGCCAAACTATGGCTGCACTGGATCCTAATTCCATGGAGGTAACTCAATCGATTTTAATGCGACTTATTTTAATTTTGTCTCTGTAATCCTTTGAAATTTGCTTTCTGCAGTCTTTAAGGTTGGATTTGTGTGATGTGTTGGATTATTATGCTAGGTTTGACTGTATGCTCGGGGAGCTGGGGTGGGTTGCAAAATTTAAAAAAAAAAAAAAAAAAAAAAAAAAAAGCACATTTTTAATTTTATTAACGGGTGAAACCGATATCTATACGTGGCTAATAAGTCTGGACACAAATTTGTATCTCGTCTCCCGACCTAGTAATTTTTCCACCCTGGTAGGAGCTTAAGTTCTCCCCTTCCACAAAGGGTCAGGCACGAGAGCAACCCTATGAAACGAAGATCTCATGCACTCGAAGAAGGGTTTATATTCTTTTTGTTAATCTCTTCCCTGAATCGTCTCTCTCCGCTCTTTCTTTGTTCTATTCTACGACAATTTCGAATCGTCTCTCTCCGCTCTTTCTTTGTTCTATTCTGCGACAATTTCTCTTCTTCTTTGTTTTCTAGAATTTTATGAACTTTTGTCAATTAATCAATTATATTCCGTTTCATTCTGTAAGTATTTTTTCTGGCGACTCTTTACCTCAAGTCTTGCGTCCTCCTGATGTGCTGTGGGTAATTAGAGAGGCGGAGCTTTAGGGACCTTTTGTAGGTTTGGCGGACTTTAGGGTTCTGTTAATCTTTTATTCCCAGTATTTATCCTCTTGCAATCTTGTTCGGTCTTGGCGGGAGTTTGGATGTTGTCCGCGGCAAATCAAGGAAGCCAAACTATGGCTGCACTGGATCCTAATTCCATGGAGGTAACTCAATCGATTTTAATGCGACTTATTTTAATTTTCTCTCTGTAATCCTATGAAATTTGCTTTCTGCAGTCTTTAAGGTTGGATTTGTGTGATGTGTTGGATTATTATGCTAGGTTTGACTGTATGCTACTTGTAATATGGTTAACTTTTATGATTAGTTAGCAGATCTTTAACTGAATGAAGCTGATGGTTGACCTTAGCAGACAAGCGTCTTCTCAATTGTGCAAAGATATCGAGACTATTTTTGGTTCAACATATGCATTGCCAACTTGTTATTTGGTTATTCCTGGTGCTGTGAGTCCCTCATGACCTGTATATTGAGTTTCTTGGTATGGTTACCCCTTTAAACCACTTTAAAGTGCTGTTGGTAGAGGTTTTTAATAGGATTTATCTAATGATTTACTAAATCCAGCTTAGTGGCAAAATGTGGAATTTTGGTGGATTTAAGATTTAGGAAATCTAATTTTGCCTTTAGATTTGGCCTGAATTTATTTACTAAATTTGGGGTTCGGTGGATTTATTGATTTAAGGATTTACTAAATCCTATAAAGTTTAAATTTTACTTGCAGCCAAACAACCACTAACTTTGTTTTATTGTGGATAAGATTAACACTTCTCATGTCTTTGGAGTTCTGAATATTATGCACATTTGTACCACTTTAACTAAGTTTTATCGTGGATCAGATGAGTGACTGTAATACTTACATTTTTCATCTCGCTGGAGTTTTGAATCGGCCATGCATTTTATCTTAGCTTTAGGTGCTTGTAGAAGTTTAGAAAATGAACCAAGTGGATCTAGATGGTAGGATACTCTACAAATTCATTGATGCAGTGGGGATTCATTAATATAGACATCAGAATAAGTTTTTTTTATATTTTATGTAAGTTTCCAAAATGGTGTATCATAAAACTGATAATTCTACAAAGAAAGGACAGGATAAGACATGGAGTGCGAACTAGTAAAATGGAGAATATTTCAATTTAAAACTTGAGGATAAGGGAAAGTACCAAACCTAAGAGATTGAAGGTGAAATTCATAGGGTTATTCTAACCTCCACATAAGAAGAGAAGTGGATAAGATAATCGATGAACCTCTTATTGGAGGGTGCATTTGCTAAAAGATCAAGTAATAAAGAAAAAGTTAAGTTAGACCTAGCAATTTACTCCATGAAAATCTCCCTTTCTCTCCAAACTTCCTATATCAAAGGATGATAATTCTTTGGAGTATTCTCTATTTATTTTTCCTTAAATATTTCAATAAATTATGATAAGCATTTATATAAGGCTTGTTTTATCAAATAGCTTTTTCTTGCATGCATGGTCAGATAGATTACTTTGCTTATTTGATAGTCTGTCTTAGGTTTTTAATTTTTTTTAGTATTTTGGCTATAGTAGTTTTTTTCCTTTGACTCAATGAATTGAAAATTTTCTTTTACTCATTCAAGTCTCTCTTCAAACTGCCTATATCAAAGGATGATAATTTTTAGGAGTATTCTCTATGCTTTTTAGTTTAATTATTTAAATAACTTGTGATAAGCACTTAGATAAGGACTTTTTTTATCTAATACTTTTTCTTGCGTGCATGGTTAGATAGATTACTTTGCTTTTTCGATAGCTTATCTTATGTTTTAAATTTTTTTATTATTTTGGCTATAGTAGTTTTTATTTTTATGAATCAATGAACTGAAATTTTTTTTTTACTCATTTAAGTGTATCTGCACTCTATGCCTGTGGAAATCCCCATTCCTTGCAGTTTCATTATGTAGAGTGCTTCTTTGAGCTAGAAAAATAGTTTCTCATTTGTTTTTCTAATGCGAATTGCATTTGCAGCCTGTAGCAGTTGTTGATCCTTTTGAATTGGTGTCAAATTGTCAATGTATTCATCATTTTATACTAAATTTTGAGTAAATAACATTGGATTCAATTGTAAGGGAAGAGTATATCAAGGCTTCTAAATTTGATAACTGTATAAATTTTTTATTTTCTATGTTTCATCCAACACCCTACCTTAAAGTCTGTGATTTGGGATGTCTGCTTTCTAACTGAGACCTTTCCATTGAGAAGGCTAGACCAACATTGTCTAATATGGTGAATCACAATTTAGATTCCCCACCAAAAAAATATTAATGTGCCACATTGCCTTATTGGATCATTAGTTAGATTGTTTTTTTATACGCTCTTGTATTACTTGGCCTTCTTTTAAAACAAAACATTTTTTACTTGAGCAAATCATTTTCTTGGGCATTGTTATGCATGATGCTTGAATTCATTTATGATGCTTGAATTCATTTTGATTAAGTCAAATGAGAAGATTGGCAGTTAAATGTTGGAGATGTTTTACTACGTGATTAAAGATTTATGGATATTTAATGAAAGTGCAAGTAGATCATTGCTGTTTGTATCCAAGAATTTTATGAAATTTCTATTAAAATATATTTTTTATATTAATGTGGGTATCAAAAACAATTGAAAATTTAATACTAAGTTGAGTTTGCTTGAAAATAGAATGTTAAAGTGGATGTGCAGTAAAAATATAGAAGGTATACTTGTAAAAAATATAATAGAGATGGCAGACATGAGGAGCTATTTGTTTATCCATGTTGAATTGATGATAGATTGTGCATATTACGGTGGATAAATAGAGTAATGCGAAAGAATTAGAAAAAAATTTATGTCAAATGTAATTTTGCTAGAAGTTGGGAGTAAAAGACTCATACAAAATAGACTTTCATGGACACCAACAAGAATGTCTGGAGGAGGAATATTCATAAAGTTGAACACATATAGTTGAGATAAGGTAAATAATGATCATGAATATTTGAGGCAGATCAAATTGAGATGAATATTGAGCAAATTTTTGGTAAGAATGCAAAATGGGTAGGTAGTATAGTGTGTTGCAGCTAAGGATGTAAAAAAAACTTATCATTCATGAATAACTCCTGTTTGATTTATTAGTTAAGCAAACGAGCCAAACAAAAATATTTATTTTGAACTTAATTTATAAACGAGACAAATATGAATAAACCTTTGCTTGATTTTGTTCGTCTTATTTTTGCTTGAAATAAATAATAAATAAATAATATTTAATAAAACTTTTTTTACTTTATTAAAAACTATTATAGTTCGTTATTTTTTTAATTATTTGAGTCAAACACCAGCAACAAATGAACAAATGAATTCGATGCGAGCCAAGTACAAAAGTGTTCTTCTTTAATAAAACTTTTTTTACTTTATTAAAAACTATTGTAGTTCGTTATTTTTTTAATTATTTGAGTCAAACATCAGCAACAAAAGAACAAATGAATTCGATGCAAGCCAAGTACAAAAGTGTTCTTGACGAGACTTTCAAACACGAGTCAATTTATAACAAATGACATTTTGGCCAAGTCGAATACAAATAAATACCGAGCTTGCTCAAGCTCCCCTCTTTTACAACCCTATTTGTACCAAAATTATTTGATGCTTTGATTTTTTCATCGAGGAGACAATTTTAATGTTGCAATGAGGTTACCATGATAAATCTTATGGTGGTAAGTAAGATAATGATCGGTAAATTGCACTTTGGGAAACTTGATGCATGGACGTCATCTATACAGTTTAGAAAAGCCACCTTCATTTAGTTTTGAAAGTAGATGAGTATGCCAATAACAAAGGATAACTATGCCTTTAGATTTTTGATTGAGATTGAATGAAGTGTTGGACTTTGGTGGGGGAAAGTTGTCAATCTTCGTTTTTCTGGTTCATAAAAGATAATAAGGTAATTTCTATGCTAATTCCTTACATCCGAGTCCTCTAGATAAATAATGAGAATCATTATAGAAATGGATAAGAAGGTTGAAGGCTTTATTTAAGAATCAACTAACTTTTAATTGTAAACCTAATAAATAACAATGGGTGTACAAGTGCTAATGATCTTGTTAATTTGAGCCATTTGGTGGGCTTGATGTATCCCAATTTTATTTCAATTATAGTCAGCTTAATAAATGTGAGATGCTAATTTCCTTTCGTTGACTTGGTAAATAAGGTTGTTACAGAATAGGTAAAAGCCATATTTTAGTTCAAATTTTGCAAACTTAGTTGGTAGAACACCTATTCACTTGGCCTTAAAACTTAACCCTGTGTTTCTTTTGTTGATTGTGATCAGGTTTTCATGATTTGACAATAATGTTTAATGTGTTTGCTCTAGTTTTGGACTTAGAGATTGGTCAACATTTTGAAAATGCTAAGTATAATATGATGAAACTTTTTTTTTTGCTTCAATGCTCAAAATGCTGGGCGAAGTGATACCTTTAGTGGCTAGAGCATTCAAGGTTATTATATTATATATGCATATATTTGTGTATACAGTAGTCTTTTAGTGAGCCAAAGTTAACCACATAAGGTAATGGTAACTTTAATGATCTATTCAATGTATGGGTTCGCGTGCAAGGGAGAATTATTCAACATATCTCTACTAATTTTCATTTAAGGAAATGGTGAAGTCGACTGCAGATTAAAATTGTTTTAGGTTTGGTTAGTTGATGGACTAAATTAGCTACCTGGAAAAAATTGAGATTAAAATGGACAAACCTAAAATGTTTGAGGGCCATTCAATATATATTTACAAAGACATGTACATATTTTTTGATTAAATGTTCAAAACGGGAGACTAAATTAATGACCTGGACAATTAATATAATAGAGAATTATTCAAAATATATTTCTACCAATTTTCGTTCAAAGAAGGTGAAAGTGACTGTAGCATCAAAATTGGTTTGGCTTTAGCTAGTTGACGGACTAAATAAACGACCTGGAAAATTTTGAGATTAAAATGGACAAACATAAAATATTTGGGGGCTCTTTGGATCATATATATGTGTGTGTGTGTGCGCGCGCGCGCGCGCGCGCAAAATCTACAATTTATTTCATACGGATGCATGCAGTCATGATATTTATTGGGTGTGTGTGTGTGTGTGTGTGTGTGTGTGTGTGCAAAATCTACAATTTATTTCATACGATGCATGCAGTCATGATATTTATTGGGTAAAATTGATTGTGTAGATTGTTTGAAGATTGAAACCTATTAGGTAACATTTTCTTTCCTTTTAAGTCCAAGGAAATAATTGAAAAAAAAAAAAATTATCAACCTTATGAAGGAGAAAGATTGGTTAAATTTTTGTGTCTGGGAGAGGGAGGAATGAAGGGAGAGAAGTGGGGGGTGGGGTTGGGGATGAGGGAGAGAGAGATTTTACTTGTCTGGTGTGCTTGCTCAAGTCACATGCTCATAAACTTTATTCAGCTGATAATAATGATTTTATTGCAATGTCCTTTCACTCCAGGATTATTTCTTTTAAATATTTGTATTGCATTGTATGTGTGTGTTAACACATTACCATCTTTTATCAGAACCGTTCTGGAGATGGAGTCAGCCAAGGACAAGCTCCTGCAATTGCTAGTCACTACACTTGGCCTGCATCAGCTACACAAGTTGCAATTCCATGGACTTACGGAGCAAATAGTGCTCCTTTCGAAAATACAACAACGCCGGGATTGGTCCACAATTATGATCCATTGAGGGATTCAACGGCCTCTGAAGGTGCTCAGGTTGCAATGAATTCTGTGCTCCAAACTCCGGCTTCATCTAATTTGGTCGCAACAAATGGAAGTCAATCTTATTCTGGTTATGTACAGAACTCTAGTTCTACTTATGCATATGGGTATGGTAACATCCAATATCAAAGTAACTACTATGGTCAACCGCATCAGGCAAGCTATACCCCCTATCAACAAGCGGGAGCAAGTCAGAATTCAGGTGCTTCTTATCGGCCTCATAGCTCATTTCAGAATACAGGCTCTTATGCAACTCCTACATGTTATTCTGGCGCTTATTTTGCTAATGATCATCAGACGGCAGCGGGATACCCAACTAGTGGCTATTTTAACCAGACCAACTATTGGAATGATGGAAGTGGTGGTGGTTACCCCCTTCAATATGCAAGTTATCCATCGTCTGATACGAATTCGACCCCTTCAACTAGCAATGCAACAACTAGTTCATTTCCTTATCAGCAGGAGTGTAATCAGTGGTCAACAAATTATGTTCCATCTGTAACAACTGTTAATTACATGCCTGGATCAGGAGGCATGGTGGCTAGCACCGTTCCAACTGTGACATATTCTTTTCAAAATGGCGTTCCCTTGTGTGCAAGTAACCAACCACCACCGCCAGGCACTACATCATGGAGAGGAGATTTGGGCTCCTCCACTTTACTTGCTCCACAGGTTTGTTCTTGTTTAAATATTCTATAGGCTACAATTGGATATTCACTGTTAAGTATCAAGGCGATGGAAGTGTAGAGAGATTTAAAACTAGATTGGTAGCCAAGTGCTTCATATAGTCATATGGGATTAGGGTTGTAATCGAGTTGAGTCGAGTTGAGTATGTCATGGTTTGAACTTGTCTTGGTAAGATTATAAGTTGTTCATGCTTACTTCGATCTTGAAACGAATTTTCACATATATGTTCATACTTAATTAAAATTTATAATGTTCATATTTGATTTGTACTTGGTTTATTTATATTAATTGAAAAGTTAAAAATTCAAACAATTGCTTAATTTTTTATGTAAAACTAAAAATTAATTTATACATAATTTTTCATATAAAATTAGAAAATTAGTTAAAAATTTGAATGAATATTTAATTTTTATATAAAGTTATTAACAAACGATTTTATGAATTTGAAGAAATAAGTAATTGAAGAGATTTTAAATTAGCATCAAATTAGTTTATACCAATTAAGTAAGATAAAATATAAATTGTAAGCTTTTTTGCAATCAAACAACATAAATAAGTACTAACAAATTAGCTCATGGAATAAAATTGCATGAAACTTATGTGAATGTTGATATTAAATTATAATATTGTAATATGAAATATATTTTTAAATTAGTTCAACTTAATCAATTTTTTTTTTAAATAGTAAATCATATAAATATAAATGATTTAACAAGTTATTTGTTGAACAACAAATAAGTTTGTTCATGGGCATTAATAAACAAGTTGGACTATGTTCAAATTTGGTTTATTTAAGCTCAGAGTTTTTAAAAATGTTTATACTTATTTATTTACTAATTTCAACAAACATGATTGAGCTGCGTTCTAATTGTTTATCAAGCGCATTAATTCATTTACAACTTTAAATAAGATTAACTACCAAGAAAAAAATTGCACTTGTTGGGTCGCTCAATAATGTTCAGGTTCTACTCTGTCGCAATAAATTAGGACTGGTCTTTATACCAACTGGATGTTAAAAAATACCTTCTTGAATGGTGACCTTGATGGAAAAAGTTGGTTTGCAAGCTGAAGAAGTCATTATATGGCAAGCAATCTACTTGTACTTGATTTGACAATTTTGCTAAAATTGTGTTTATAAATAGATATCATCAGTATCAAGCTGATCATACACTGTTTGTTAAACCTAATCCTAGAGGCAAAATTGCAATTCTTCTAGTATATAAAGATGATATTATTTTGACAGATGTTGCTTCATAAGAAAATATCAAACTAAAAAGGGTGCTTGCAACAGAATTTGAGATTAATAATGTCAGGACTCTCACATACTTTCTGGGAATGGAGGCGGCTCGATCTAAGGAGGGAATTATCATATCCCAAAAAAATTATGTCTTATATTTGTTAAATGAAACTGGTTTGCTTGTGTGTAAACTAGCTGATGCACCCATGAGTCCTAAGAAAAAGCTGAACAAAAGTGAGAGGGAATTATCATATCCCAAAAAAATTATGTCTTAGATTTGTTAAATGAAACTTGTTTGCTTGTGTGTAAACTAGCTGATGCACCTATGAGTCGTAAGAAAAAAGCTGAACAAAAGTGAGCTGAACAAAAGTGAAAAAAAAATAGTCTAGTTGATAAGGGAAGCTATCAAAGACTTGTGGGGTAAGCTGGTTTATTTTTCACACATGAGACTTGATATTGTGTACTCGGTTAGTGTAGTGAACCAACATATGAAAAATCCAATTAAGGATCATTTGGAAGCATTGAACATAATTTTGAGATACTTCAGGATGACTCTTGGATAATTTTATTCAAGCCGAACACGAACATGCCATTTGGAACATGAGTTCATTTCGAATAAAAAAAGTTCTAACAAGCCAAGCACGAACAAGCATTGTGCTCACTCAAGCTTGGCTCATTTACACTCATAATTGGAAATACTAGCTTCTGTAGGGTGGGCGAAGCAGTGTTGACTAAGACACTAAAAGGGGATATTATACTTTGAAATACTTTTAGTTTTCTTGCATATGTGGGCAAAGTTTTGAGCGGTTAAGTAGTGTTTGACTTTTTAATCTCATATGCATTTTATTGAACTCCTACCTTTGTTTTACTTGTGCACAAGAAAATAGAATATTTCATCTTAATATTAAGATAAAGTTTATACATTTTGGTTTTATTATAGTAACTATGTTATGCATGATTGTCATACCTGCTTATAGGGGTGTAAATGAGCCGAGCCTGAGTGAGCTCAGAGCTAGTTCGTGGTCGGCTTGTTTGAATATTTTTTTGTTTGAAATGAACTCGTGTTCGAAATAGCTAGTGAATGACATGTTAGTGTTTGGATAGATTCAAATTTTTTTGTACAAATTAATTTGTGTTTGATTCAAATTTGAGCTTGACTCGAGCTTGATAAATCACATAATTCGTTTAGCTTTTTATCGAGCAAAGCCTTTGAGTTCTTGTCAGTTTTTATCTGAGATTATTAAAGATATCATAAAATTAAAGAGTTTAATAAATTAAACTATCATCATTAAACTTTGAATATATCAACAATAAAACAAACAATATCATATCCCTTCCACGAGCTTCTGAAGCTTTTCGAACTTATTAGCTTTTCTTTGCTTTTAAAGAGCTTTTTTAACAGGAAAACTCCCAATTTGGGATTGATATTTAACCTGCATGTAAATTGGTGGGAAATTTCTAGCTGCATTTACATACATATCGCCCCGTTGTTATGTATTTTCATATCTAACACCTAAATGCCATGGTTCACGGGGCGGGGCAGGCAGAGCGGGATAATTCTAGGGGCATTTACAAACATACCACTCAATTTTTATGCATTTACATATCTAACACCTAAATGCAGGAAAAATTCTAGGGTCATTTACATAAATACCACCCAATTCTTATTTATTTATATATCTAACACTTAATGCAAAAATTATAGGGGCATTTACATACATACCATCCATTTTATTTCTATTTACATGTCTAACACCTAAATTTTGTTTGTTATGTTTATACTAATCAAATTGTTAATATCACATCAAAGATACCGCTATTTTAAATTTTACATGTTATTTAATTATTACTTAATTAATTCGTGTCATTTGTATAACGAATGAATCAAATACGAGCTATTAAACGAGCATAACACAAGTTGTTTGCAAACAACGAGCTTTTTTGATGCCCAACTTTTGCGGTGCACTGGGGAGCTAAAACATGCTAGATCCTCGGGAATGGTAAAATCATCGAACGTTGTGAATTTAAAGAAAAATGAGCTTGCTTGTAATACATATTCTACAGATCTTTTATGTTTTTTTTAATTTTATTTTATTGACATCTGTATCTGTGATTGTTGAAGAACATTACAAAAGGAAGTTATACCAATTTTAAATTAGGTGATAGATATTTGCGGAAAAAAGAACTAAAAAATGGTTAAATGGGTCTATCCTGTTGATCTTAGGAAAATTTTCCTCTTATTAGCTAATACAATATGTCAACGATATCTTTGTTGATAAGTTATATATTTTTCTATTCTGCAAGCTTACAGCGAAGTTCATGTTATGTGGTTATTTGGTGTCATTTTCCTCGTGTATGCTATTGGCTTTTTCTCCTGCTGTTTTTTGCTGTTTGATAGTGGATCCGGGCATGTACAGAGCTACTTCTCATGGTATTGTAATTTCAAATCATTTCCTCACTTCTCTAGAAAATAAATAAAAGGTAGATGTTCCCATGAATCTCACGTAATAATATTGCTAGGCCAAATGAAGTTGATAGTATTCCATAGCGGATGAATAATCATCTGGTTATGAAAGAGGTCAAAATTTCATCTAGGGTTGAATCCTACTTCGAGATTCATTAGGGATCTGAAATTGTTCCATAATTACCACATTAATGTCATGTGCAATTATTGTTTCACTTTGAATAAAATGGTGCATTCCAATACAATTTTCATGGGCCGTCACACCAATATGCTCATTTTTTAGTAGATTATCAGATAGCTGAACTTCAATAAATCATACTTGACTCCTATGAAAAAATATTCTCCATTAATTCTTATTTTTACAATGACTAGTAAATTCTAACTGTTATCTTGCATGACATATATTCTCCATTAACTTCTACTTTAAAATGACTAACAATTATTTACTTGCTACTATTCACTGTTGGTCATAATCATTCACAATCAAACCAAAAAATTATGAGCTATCAAACTTTCATGCAACTAATGAGAGGCGGTAATAGTTTTCCGTCCAGAACAAGTTCTATGTTTGGATTTTGAATGCTTTGAATTTACTTTTATTGACACATGGTTATTATACTTCTATGACAGGCTCGCAATGATGTTTTATCTACTTTTCCGCATGGTAGTTGGGAAGGGAAGGCTCCCACAGAGCAAAATTACTATCTCACTCAGATACCTTCAGATTTGCAGAGGGCTTCTGAGTCAAAGCTACCTTTTTATGAAAACAATGTTGGAAGTGAAAAAACTACATGCGTTACTGATCCAAGTTCTAGTTTGCAGGTTTTTCCTATCCGTCCAGTTTCTCAAAACCCCCAACAGCCTTTGCAAACTTCCTCAACAATGGATACATGTCGGGTAAGCAAAATGCAGATTCCAACCAATCCTAGGATTGCTTCGAGCTTGGTCATGGGTATGCCGAAACTTGACAAGGAAACTTCAACCACTAATGCCGCAGCTAAACCAGCATACATCAGCATTCAAGTGCCAAAACTTAACAATCAGTTGTCCTCCAGTGATGATGCTGATGCTGTTATCAAGGTAATAATCTATTCATTTTCTGTGTTCCAAAACTCTAGAATGCTAATGTTATAACTAGTGTGAAGGAGTAAGGTGGAGAAACAGGTTTATTTGTCCTAGAGCTTAAGATAATGATGGTAGATGGCCATCTTAGTAGATTGAACATTAGGATGGCTTATCTTTACTTGTTTAAAGTGGTTGGTCAACAGTAGTTTAGTTGGGGAAGATTGAGCTTTGATGGGCAAGAAAATTGTATTTTTGTTGACAAGAGTGACTTTTGATTAGTAGGGAATGGGATAGTAACAAATATTATTTAGGATAAGGTTTTCTTATGGGTTGTAAACCTCTTTTGTTAATTTTTAGGACCTCGTGGTTCCTCCCTTGCATGCAGTTGAAATCCTCATATGGCTCCATTTCTTAGAGAGAAATTTTTATTGCGAGTAGCTGATATCCTGTAGTGCAAATCTAGTGCAAGCTAGCTATTCTGAAGAGTCTCTTGGGCCCTGCTCTTCTTTGATGGGCTCTCTCTCTCTCAGGGTATCTCCTTCCCTAGATATTGCCATACCAAATCTCCTTTCTATCATGTGCAAATTTCTCTGTGCTGATAATGCTTGGGTTTATATTTCTCCCAGAGTGAAATTAAAAAAAGAAAAAAAAAACAAATCTCCCAGACATAATCTCTCTTCCACCTTTCGTTGGATGTTTTTGATGCTAGCCATGTTGCGTGCGGGCATATCTGCGTCTCTTATTAGTACCATTAAAGCGGTGAACTCCTATTAGCATGCACATACAAGAATATATATATATATATAATCACCCGCCTTTGAGGAAATATGATTGGGCACACAACATTACAGATATTGACAAAAGTTAGTGATTGAGCCTTTTCCTTCGCATTGTTCAAACTATCGTATGTTCTGCCGCTTCAATTTTTAATGCCTTTATCTACACCCCTAACTCAGACTAAAAAAACATAGTGCTCCGCCAGAGGCAACGATTTCGTCTCCTTCTGATCAGCTCCAAATTATTGACACTATTGATCATCAAAAGAATACCCCGGATGACGTCACTATTCTTGCAGGCAATATGACAACCATTCAGTCCTCAGTTGTAGCTCCCCCGTCTTTGGAACCTCCTATTGTGGGGGAGAGGGTGAGTCTTCAGACCCCACCTGCCCTATATATCGCCGATAATACATGTGGCAATACTTCTACTGCTTCACTACCGTTTCATTAGGTCGAGCAAGCTGTTAATGTTACTCAGGCTTATGGGAATCGTGATGTGCAACAAGTCCGCCCAACGTTGGAATCTACGGATCATATGAGTCAATCATCGGATGAGGAAAAACAAGTCTACACATCCAGGAGGAAGAAGAATGAAGATCTACTTGAGCTTAGAAATCTGATGGATGATACTTTAGTTACTACGGGCAATGATATTCACCTTGAGCTTAGAAATCTGATGGATGATACTTTAGTTATTACGGGCAATGATATTCACGTTTCCAATTTGTTAGCCCTCACTTCCAAGAACTAGAGGCAGAGGGAGGATTAAAGTGGGACGTCCCTAACATTTTTGTGCCATTTTGTGGCTTTTTGGTTTGTTACATTTATGTATCTTTGCTTTAGACATTTATGTATCTTTGCTTTATTTGAGTTTTGTGTGTTGTATTGTGTGAGTTGGGCTTTCTTTTAGGCCCTCTCATACAACCTTTCTGTATCTTTTCAGTATTAATATATTTGCCTTTGGGCTCTTTTCTAATATATATATATATATATATATATATACTATTTCATTATGCATAACATCGAACACAAACAAACAAGTCAAACACAAGTTTCTTAACGAGCCGACCACGAGCTGTTCCGGAACAAGTCGTTTTGACAACCCACTTAAGAGGGTCAAGGATTGACATTAGTGCTCCCTAATATTTAGTAAAGCATTACCCTTTGCTTCATGGGTAGTCAGTAGTCGTAACCCGTCGGTGTGACTGACTCAAGAATGACCAATTTTCAAAAAAAAATTTAAAATTTAAAATAAAAAAAAAATTTAAAAAAAAAAAGGGTGTGACAGAGCTCATTTTATTTGACAATATTGTAATATTATATTTACAAAAAATGGGTTGGGGTGCATAGGAAGGGAGTGTGGGAAAAGATTTGATAGAATAGAGATAAGGCTTAGTGTATCATTGCAAAGGAATAAAAGAGAAGTCCTTTTCCATTTCTTTTCTTCCTCTCAATTATGTTGCCTTCTCAAATTGTGTTTCCTTTGATTTAATTATTATTATTTTTTTTTGGTCTTCTTAGAAAGCTCTCAAATGCAAATTATATTCTTTGGAGGGCTTTTTGGTAGAAATTATTAAGTGTATTAAATTATTTTTTTGATATTTTAAATTTAGGGAATTTACATAAATACCTCCTCTAATTCTAATGTACTTACATATGACACCAGGCCTTTTAAATTTTATATTTATGCTCGTTGAATCTTTTTTATCAAATAAAAAATATCATTATTTTAACTTTTAAAAATGATAAATAAATTATATATATATACATATATATGTAAAGTGATATATATGTAAAAATTATAGTTTATGTCTATAAATTATCTCAAAATAAATACAAAAAAGAGGGAAATTTCGACATGAGGAAACCCAAAAGGAATTCCTATAGGACCTTTTTGAGCCTTAGGGTGGCCTTTTGCACAATTCGCACTCCTGCGCGCACAAAACTTCGCAATTCGGAGAATTGATACGTCCGATCGCCACAATTCACATCACTTACACCGTTACCTGTCGAAGACTCGAATAAACTTTTTGAGACGATCAATCGCGGGTTGAAATTTTGTGAAATTTGAATTTTGACGCGTTTTTGACCCGATCGTCGACGACGTCGTTCGAGCGACCCCGAATGACAAAACGGACTGTTCCGACGCGTCTGGAATGTCGATTTTTCCTAGGGAAGACACCCATTTTGTTACGACGCCGCACGTGAATAGATCGCATATAAATTAATATATATATATCTATATATATATATATATATATATATACATACATATATATTAATTTATATAAACCAGATTATCTTTTTCCTTCCTCTTTAAGCCCCAAATCCCCACTCTCCGCGCCTGAGCTCTGCCTCCCTTCTCCCGTTCACGCGCCTGGCCTTTCCCTTTCTCGGTCTCGAGCCGAGCGAGCTCTTCCTCCTCCACGCGAGAGAAAGTCGACTTCTCATCCGTCCTTGCCCGACACCTTATGCCCGCAGTCCTCCTTCTCGAAGTCGTGCCAGTCTCCCCGAGCTGTGGTTTTCTTTTTCGTGGTAGTTTGACTCTAGGAAGCTTGTTCCCTGGTACACTTGAATGGCAAACTCTCTATTCTTCCCGATACTTTCCTCGCTGCCACTGGGCTTGCCGCTCGGGCTGAGGTGGTTC